TGCTGGACACAAGATGTCTCCTACTTCACTGTGTATGTGCACTGGTGGCTTTAAGTTTCCACGTCACACTTATATAAGTTGCATACTGCACCAGTCTTTTAAGAATATTATACATTGACGCTTTACAGTTCAGGAATATGAAGCAGAAGTAATTTTAATGAATAAATAATAATCATAAGTTACGACTGTCACAACCAGTACACATCAGAATCCTCTCTTTCGCCTCCCTGCATGCTGGTGGGCTTGCACACGGAAAGTAATCTGACCCAGACTTGTAATCTAATCAAGAGTAATCTCTCCCTGTCTCCCTCTCTCTCCTGCAGTCTGGATAAATCCAACCTCCTGACAGAACATCTTCAAACAAATCTAATTTCGTTGTAATTTCAGCTCCAAAATCACACGATAATAAAATCACCAGACCTTTTCTGATGTATTTTTGCTTGTCTTTGTTGTGCAATATGTATTTCTAATAGCCCGAGTTAGAAAACTGAATTGTAAAAAGAGTACAGTGCGTGTGAAGATTTCTGAGCATCAATAACAACAGCATTAAGTCTAAGCGCTCAAACACTGAACAAATTCTTCCTCCATATATCTGCCAGCTGTGGTCACCTTATTGTATTTAAAGAGATATTTACAGAGATCTTTTTTTTTTAATCAAACTTTCAACACTTTCAGTCCACACAAACAACAAGTGCATCTGTGAATTTGATTACAGAATATTTGGAAGCACATGTTTTGCACTCACGTTGCCTTCAGGTCCAGTCAGATAAATCCAAACTTAGGTGACATAATGTTGTAAGCCTCTTGATTTCAAATAAATAAATACAACAAAATAAAACACTCAAGTACCCAGTTTTTTTATTATTTCCCACAAATGCTCACAACTGTCAACCTGTGGTTTAAGCTGAATTTTCCAGAGCTGCACATAGAAGAGGAAGACATGTACTGTATGAGGAACACTTGATAGCCATAATAAAGAATAATCAAATGCTTTTAATTTGAAAAATATAACTCGAAAACATCCATGTTTTTTAATTCATTTTGTTTATTTTGAGAAATGTACTGCTTATGAAATGACTTACTGTTTGGGAAATGGCTGCAGTAATTTGAATGGCATATCATAAAGAAAATAAAGGCGACTGATAAGGATATAAAAGGTAAATAACAATGTTATAACAGGAATTGTGTTGCAGGACGTAGGCCTAAGCAGAACTCCTCAACAGTCAAGTTTAAAGTGTGGTAACAATCTTCTCATTTACGTCTTGGCAAAAAGGCGAATAAGCGTATATTCCTTTAAAGGTAAGGTCTCAGTTGTCTATAAAGACAGTGACGAGGTCTCTGCAGCAGACCTATGCAGAATGACTGCATACCGGTCCTAAAATGGAAGGAGTCAACCTTTTTGGGATTGATTGACGGACTCTGGCACAGCAGCGTCCATACGCTTTCTCTGCAAAGTGCAAATCCCTCACATCATCCTGCACCAACTGCAGCAAGAATTAACTGAGAGGATTCAAATGAATAATTGATTCAGGTTTGTTGTTGGATTAACAGACAGTCAACACTCACAGATGGTCCTCTGTAGTTAGTTTGCTGATCGGGAAATTGCATCCTCATTACCAAAATCCTCAATACAATGAACTGTGAGTTTGTTTCCAACTTCACATATACTTTGGCAAATGTCTTCCTCTATCTCTAAATAAACAGGTGTTCAGTCTGTGAGAGAGTTATATTTTTATCAAACAGGAAGAGAAACGGATACCTTCATGTGGAAAACAGCTGACTGTATAAATAACTTATAGGTCAAGAAGGGGCATTCCCACTGTTAGTTTACAATCTTTATGTATCCACCTTCACTACAATTGATCTCCCAATCATCTTATCAATATTTCAGTTAATTAGTCATATGAATCTGAGCAGAAATCATGAACAGCTTAAAGCCAGAGGTGTTCAGTCAATATACGAACAAATCCTTTGAATTAAATCCTCAGACTGAACTCACAACACTGAATCACCATTGCCAATGACTGAATCAGCGGCAGTCAGCAGTGAATCAGAGGTCGCTGATTCAGCGTAGTTACTTCAGTTTGAAGATTCATTGATAAAGATTTGTTCTTACATGAACAAACACCTCTAATATACAGTAGGTCACTGCCCAGTAAACGCCTACTGTAAGACCACGAAAGCCACATGATGAGATACTGAAGCAGCTGCCAAGGCTGGTCCATGACAGGCCCTTGTTTGTCTGATTGGAATAAATCAATACGTATTGGATTGAATCAATAAATATTGGGGCGGCAATTTGTCAGATATGTACTGAGCTGAATCTGATGTAATGCTGGTTTTAGAGTTAACTATAAAGTTGATGGTTACTGAGTTTAAACTACATTTGGGTCGTGGGTAAAGCAAGAACCAGGGAGCTTCATCTGTGTCACTGGGTCCACTTTAATATCCGCTCCGACTGCAGGACAACTGAACGCTGACAATCATATCACTCCACCAATGTTAACCATCTGTAACGTTACAGGCAAGGTGCCCCATATTATGTAGTTCCTCATCTAAATTACACAACAGAACACAAATATATGTGTGTACAGTTACTATGAATTACATTATGCCAATTGCCTCAATAAACCTTAAAAAAATCTACAAAATAACTGGAAATGTTTGAACTGAACAATTCAAATCAACAGTAAAGTGATTCTTAATTTAACATACAGCTGCCAGTCAAAACACAAGCCACAACAACCACTAATAAATTACACTGTGGTATGATTTGTGTGTGTGTGTGTGTGTGTGTGTGTAAGCGCATTTGTCCTCATCCTTCATCTATCTTTCCCTCCAGATGGGTGCCTCCATTGTTGTTAATTCATTTGTGTTTCGGGGGAGACGCATTGTCATGCACACACACACAGTCTCTCATTCTCTGACTATGCACCTCTTAAAGAGATTGCAATATGAGATGAGATTAGCAGTGATTTATGATTAAACCACACCTCATCCAAACACACGCATGTGTACGAGCACACAGAAACACAAGCCTCTGGAGAGACTTCGCCACAGGAGTCGCACACTGCTGGTCAAAGAGAAGAGGGGAGGGAAAGAGGGAATCTATCTTTGTTCACAAGCTGAGCTTTGAGGACGGTCGCTATGGAGACCAGCCTCAAATCTGTTGGTTGATGAGAGGCATGCAGTCTGCTGCAGCGAGCACACACACACACACATTGACACACTGACACACTTGCTGCACTCACAGCACCTGCAGACGGCGCAGCACTGCAGCACTGCGTCAGAAGACGCAAAACTGACCAATCAGCACCTTTGTCTAACACACACCTCTGGGCTGGAGCCAATAAGAGCGTTTTTTCCTCCTCCGTCCACCAATCAGGAAAACATCATTCCAGATGTGTCTGGAAAAAGCGGGCCAATCAACAGGCCGGAAGTTTTTTAATGAAATGGAAAGTCTAGAGATTTAATTGCTAAAATGTCTTCCTTCTCTGTGTATGGCTGCAGCTGTGGAGGCATTGTTGCAGCTTTTAGTCGTTATTTAGAAACTTGATTGAAGTATGAGAAAGGAGCATTTGAAAAAGAGAAAGACGGTGAAGTGGAAACAGATAAGGAAGGGAGGATATGAACAGAATAAGAGAGGAAGAGTGATTGATGTGAATATGAGGTGGAGAGAGATGGGGAGCTGCCTCTCCTCTGACCTATATTCACACTGTCAGTCATTTCAACCACGAGCTAATAGCAGCTTTGGCTGGTTCAGGATGGTGATACGCTGCAGATT